GGAATACTCTTCCGGTTTTTAATATAAAACCTAATTGAAAAGTTAATATTGATCTTATATGTAAGACCTATTTCACATACTTGTCAATTTTGTTTCTAGATCAGCTCTATTAATATTCCCTTAACAATAACTAAGTAGGAAACTGAGGAAATTGAGAAAAATATTTATGGTGTTTTAGAAAAATATGTCATGTTAACTAATCTAACTAAAATTTTTAATTTGCTATTAGTTGATTTGGTACTACCCCTTATTTTTAATATAAGAGCTAATTTAATTTTTAATTTGGTTCTAAATATAGAATTATAGTCCACTTTGTTTTTTATATTTATCTATTTTTTTAAAATAATTTTTGTAGTGGTTGCACATATTAAAAGTTTCATGAAATAGTAGTTATAACTAATACACATGATTAGTAAGGATATTTTAGAAAAGACAACACCTATTTATTACAAATAACTAATTTAATCAGGACAACATCTATTTATTATAAATAACTAACTTAATCAATTCTTTTATATTCTTCAAATTACTCCACTAAATCTTATATTAAGGATTGGATCTAGTATTATATGACCTTCGGTTCTTAATATACTCCTCCGGTCCTTATTATAAGACCCAATTTGACTTTTTATTTGGTCCTAATTATAAGACCCAATCCATTTTGTCTCTTATATTTATGCATTTTTTTCCAAGATAATCCTTCTAATAATGATAGTTTTAGCCAATATATTTAATTAGTAAGGATATTTTAGGAATGACAACACTTATTTATTATAAATAACCAACTTAATTTACTTCCTTAATCTCCCCAAATAAGTCAATTGGGTCTTATAATTAGGACCGGAGGAGTAAGACCTTATTTGATTTTTATTTTGGTCCTAAATATAAGACCCCAATCTACTCTGTCTCTCAAATTTATACATTTTTTTCCAGAGTAGTCCTTCTAAAAATAGTAGTTTTAGCCAATACACTTGATTAGTAAAGATATTTTAGGAAAGACAAAACCTATTTGTTACAAATAACTAACTTAATTTTTTTAAAATTTATCAATTAGCTTTGAAGTGAACTAGTTGTGGTACAGGGTTGGGCTTTAGAAAATATATATTGATATATTAATTTATTTTTTAACTGCTGATGTCTCATGCATGCTTTTTTACTGTGCTACAGATCACGGCGTTGTAGAATAAAGCACTGTTGGCGACATTCGGAAAAAACAATAAAATAACAAGTACAAATTATTTTAGCTTATTTATTTATTGTTCAGCATCATTAGATCACTGAACCAACAAAAGAGACGCAGCTTGATTTAGATAGTTAAACATATTTAATTTGAAGGATATGTGTAGGATTTATTTGTTTCGATCTTAATGTAAAACTTTATTTAGCATGACAAGATAATACAAATTCAATATAAATAAAAATGTTATTTATTAAATAAAAGCGAAGCATATCATTATACTAACTTACTGAATATCAAATCACTTCAGACATATAAATGACAAAGATAAGTATATGCAAAGTTTATAAGTTATCTTTTGTGCAATTTTTAATTTTAAATTAATTACATGTACTTGATTAGATTGATTGAAGATCTAGTTCGGACAGGTACAAATTGTTTCATAAAAGGGCAAAAATGTAAGTCCAAGAAAGGCCAAAGGCTCAACATTGTTTCCTTGGTCTAGGGGTGTTCACGGGACGGATCGGGACCGGGACAGGCCCGTCCCGGTTTCGTTCCGGTGAACAGTAACGGGACAGATTTTCTGTCCCGTGTCCCGGCCCATCCCGGGGTTGTCCCGGTCCCGGTCGGGACGGGACCGGAACGTCCCGAAATTATTATTTTTTAATTTTTTTTTAATTTTTTTAATTTTTTATAAAAAATCTGATTTTTTTAATTATATTTTTTGAGCTTAAATCTTATAAAAACATCTTTTTTATTTGTTTGGGCACTCTTAAACAAAAGCTCAAAATATTACATATAATAGTTATTAAAAACTCTAAACAAAAGCTTTTAACACAATAAAAACTTGCTAAAAATTCTAATCATCAATAATCTCAAATCATTAACAAATATAAAAACTCTAAATAAATATATCCATAGTTCCATACAATAGTCTCAAATTTTAAAAAAAATATGAAAAAAATGATATTATATAAAAAATTTAAAAAATTAATTTTTTTTTTAAAAAAAAGAACCGGGACGGGACGACCCCGTCCCGGTCCCTTTTTTGTCCCGTCCCGAAAAATTTCGGGACGGATCCGTCCCGTCCCAATAAGACTGGGACCGGAACAGGCCGACTGGGACGGGCCGGCCTTGAACACCCCTACCTTTGGTCTACATTCCAGTGAGGCCCAAGCCTTGGCGTTATACCAATTACTGTGACAATTTTTATGGCGACATGGGAAATAAATAATGGGAGTTAGGAAAAAAAATCAATATTTTCAAAAAAGTATATTTATTTATTTATACTACATAAATGTTAGTAAAATAAATTAAAAGAAAAAAATAAATATAAAAATGAATAAAAACATGGAAAATCGAATATGTAAAAAAATATCATCACAAAAAATTTAAAAATGATTGATGATTTATAAATAATATTTTTCGATATTATAGAAGGGTTGAAACTTTGAATTGCTGATCATTTTCGCATTTGGCCGCCGCTTGTTCCCTAAATTTTATATTTTGCATTTATAATTGTGTTAAATTGTATCTATGCACTTTAAAATATTTTCTTGAATGCACCTTAAACATTTTGTGATTCAATACCTTAAAATATTTTTTAGGTTTATCCAGCATCATAAAGTTTTTTTTTTTGCCTTAGTGTTTTTAGCATGAAAAGCCTTGAAAAAAATATTTTAAAGAGCTAAATGCCTGCAAAAAATATTTTAAAATATTTAAATACATTTAATATTGTCTGCAGTTTGACTTTTTATAATTTGATGCTAACTTTTTTAGCCAACGTTAGGAGTTCCGCTTGGTAACTGGTTATAATAAATGCGAGCCCGTACTGCGGGATGCATTCTTTATATTGATAATTTCTGTGAATGTTTTTGTTTATTCTGGTTACCAATTTTTTTTAATTTTCTTATGGACGCCTTTTTTATTTTATTCCGCTGTCGTCTCGTCCTTAAGTGCTGAACTCCACGGGGGAAGGGAGAGAGCGTCTTCTCTCGGGGAGAACTCAGATTGCCCAAAACCTGCATCTGAGACGCCTTCAGTATATAAGGAAACATCGAATGCGGCCTCTGATTTCACTTCACCCCCTTCCTTACTCTCATCACCTTCATTGCATCATCTCGCTTTCTTCCTTAACAACCTCCTTACCTTTATCTATGTTCATTTCTCATTTGTCTTACTCTCTCAACCTCGTCTTCTTCTCTTTCTCTGCTTAGATTAACATCCTATACCTGCTTTCGTCCCTTGGGGGTTTTTTTATTTTAGCTTCTTGCCCTTCCATGGCTGCGTCTTCTATGGCTTCTCCTCTCTGCACTTGGCTGGTGGCTGCTTGCATGTCACTAGACTGCGAGACTGACCGTTCCAGAAGCCCATACTCACTCCAGAGTTCGAGGAAAATGAGCAGGTGGTCTCGTCGGAGGAAGGTCGTGTCTAAATGTGCCGGTGGAAGTTCCGAATCCAACAGGGGCGCAATTTCGTCTTTTTATGGATCCAGCATTCAAGGTCTAATGAGCTCCTGTCTCGCCTTTGAGCCCTGCGATGAGTTCAACAGCTCCAAGAGTCCTTCTTCTCTGGGGTTCTTTGGTGACAATGGGTTCTCCTTACTGTTCGGATCGAATAATCGTTATATCAATCGCAGGCAGAGGCGTGTGAATCGAGCGGTCCAATCCGGTAATTTTGTTTACTTTATAATTTTATAATTTAATCAGAACTTGAGGCCAAGAATTTTAAAAAAAGCTAAATCCTAAGCTCCCGCTGGTGATTATTCATCCTGTACTCTGTACCGTTCGTTGATTCTATTTCTTTCTCCCTTATTGAATATGGAACATGGAAACACATCTGTATATGATGCATCCCACGGGACTGTTTTTTAAGTTTGTATCTTCTTCTTCTTCTTTTTTCCTTTTACGTTTTAGATGAATCTTTATTGTTTATCGGGGCCACAGGTTCGCTTTGCTGAGCGGACTAAAACGATTTAGACTTCACAGCGGTCTATCATGCAGTGTTACAGTTAGACACCAAATCCATGGTATAATGGTGAAATAGAAATTTGTTACCCGCCTTGCGATATCAGGAAGGTTGTTGGCCATTTTAGAGCGAGTTGGGTTGCATAAGAAAAAGAGTTTTCTTGTAATGTTTTCTCGGAAATAATATTTCTACATGTGTTGTTCTAGAGTTGGAACATAACTCCACTCAGTCTGCCATCTCCTTTTTATCATCTTATAAGAAGTAATGTAGGCGTCTGCCATTTGGGCGGTATTTTAATACATTCGTGAAGGGGGGATAATATTGCATATTGAGGATGCAGGACATATAAATTTATACTAAAGTCCCAGACCTGCAAGGCAGAAAAGTGGTTTGGCTCTTAGTTCTTAAATATTCTGAATTTTTCTTACATATCTGTTCTCATACTTCTTGCATGTGTGTTGATATTTCTAACCTATTCTCTTGCTCGGTTTTGGTTGGTGGTCATGTTTTTATCATTCAAAATCAATGGTTAGAAGTTCTTTACTTAAAACTAAGGTTATCTTGGAAGGCTACGCACTCTGCTTAACATTTATTTAGACCTTTGAAATTTGAATTTCCTATCCATAGATAAGAATACTTGTCGGTTACTTTTTCTATGTGCCAGTGATAGGCCTTCACTTTCTTGAGTAGTAGCGATCCAAACACAACTTTGATATGCAAAGTTGTGCAGTGCAGAAGGAAGTTGATCTTTTAACTCGGTTTAGTAGCTGATTATTCATGTTTTATTTGCTAATATACGTGTTGCAATTTAAATTTGCAGGGAAAGCAATGGCTGTGGCGTTGCAACCTGCCCAAGAGATTACAACAACTAGAAAACCTTCTATAAAGCAAAGACGAGTAGTCGTGACTGGAATGGGTGTGGTCACACCACTTGGTCATGATCCTGAAACCTTTTATAATAATTTACTTGATGGTGTTAGTGGCATAAGCGAGATCGAGACTTTTGACTGTGCTGAATATCCAACAGTATGTTATATTTCATTTAAGTGTATTTTCAGCTGGTTCCTGCTGTTGCTTTTGTTCTCATTGCTTACTGTCTTCAGAGGATTGCTGGTGAGATAAAGTCCTTCTCAAGTGATGGCTGGGTAGCACCTAAACTTTCAAAGAGGATGGATAAATTTATGCTTTATTTACTAACAGCTGGAAAAAAGGCCCTGGTTGATGGTGGGATTACTGATGATGTAATGGATGAGTTAAATAAAGAAAAATGTGGAGTCTTGATTGGCTCAGCTATGGGTGGCATGAAGGTAATCTTAACTTTGATTCAATTTGAGATTGTACATTTGAAAAAGATTAAAGAGTGCTGTCATATTGAGCTTTGATTTTCTACTTAGATGTGTCATGTCGTTTGTAGGAATATGTGATATTCGCCGATATTATTGTTAAATCCAATCCAAGATGGAGCCATATACATTGTGCCATTTCTTTGAATTGATTTATTCTTTCTGGAACAGGTCTTTAATGATGCCATTGAAGCTTTACGAATCTCATATAAGAAGATGAATCCTTTTTGTGTACCTTTTGCTACTACAAATATGGGTTCTGCCATGCTTGCAATGGATCTGGTCTGGTTAAATTAATTTTGGTGCGCATTATCTGGACACCGTAAATGGGTGTCTTGGTTCTTGTCAAGCTTTTGTCAGCTGACTTATTTAATGATTCCAGGGATGGATGGGCCCCAATTATTCAATCTCTACAGCTTGTGCCACGAGCAACTTTTGCATATTGAATGCAGCAAACCATATTATTCGAGGAGAAGCTGTGAGTCTTTTGCTTGTTAATTGGATTGTGCCATTTCTGGTTTTTTCCAGCTTTTCTGTTTCTTTCTGACATAAAGAGTATTTGATAATACAGTCATTTTAGTGAAAGGAATTATATTCTCATAAAAAAAATTTGCTTAATTATGCAATTTATCTGCAGGATGTGATGCTTTGCGGTGGTTCTGATGCTGCTATTATACCTATTGGTATTTAAGTTTCTTTCTTGTGGCTCATTCCTTTTGCTTGTAGGAACTTATATTGGCATAAAGCTGATAATTATCCAACAAGTATTGTTTGTTTCAGGTTTGGGAGGCTTTGTGGCATGCAAAGCTCTTTCACAGAGGAATGGTGATCCTGCCAAAGCTTCTCGGCCTTGGGATGCTGTAATACAAAGAAATCCATGATCCATTGATTTCTTGTTTATTTTTTCCATTTTCATTTCTGAGCTTTCATTAAATTACAGAGAACTACAGATATAAACTCCTATTGACGGTTGAATATATCTTATATTCTGTAATAATTAATGGATCTTACTTTCTGAGGTCTTTCTAATGGTAGGAAGGCTCACAACTCAACTTTGAGTGCTTGAAATTTCCTGATACCCCAACCCTTCAAAATATTGATCAATCAGAAAACACCAAAAGTTGCCATTCAGATACAAATAGCATATGAAAGAAACCACCAAGATCTGAAAAATATGACTCAGTCTGAAATGCTGGGCATCTCAAATTCAGAAAACCACCCATTAGGATTGAAGAGGAAGCGTAAAAAGGAACAAGAATGATGAGAAATTTTGCTGATCATAAATAATGAGCTAAGTTTACAGTGTCAGCGACAATACTCATCATGTTGGAACAGTTTTGACATTTTAATAGGCTTATGCATGTGTTTTTATTGAAAATGATTCCTAAAATTATGGAAATGTCAGTTTCCATACCATGCTCTTCCTTTATTTGATGGCTTTACCCCAGCACTCATGTTGCTTGCTAACCACTTGAATATCTTTGTCATTTCAGAATCGTGATGGATTTGTCATGGGGGAAGGTGCTGGTGTTTTGCTTTTAGAAGAACTAGAGCATGCTAAGGTACTTCTGATTTGACTGCAATTGAGGATCCTAGTCATATTAAAGAGTGACACATCGTAATGTAGCATCTTAGTGCAATATGTGTGTATTTTTATTGTAATCTATTGCTTTTATCTCATTAGTTTGTTACAGGGTTACCAAAACACATTATGGAACCTTCAGTCTCTTTTGTGTTACTTCTCATTGCCATTGCCTATGCGTGTTGTTTCTCATTCTATCTGTATATTATTTTCAAATCCATAACCTTGCAATACCAATGACTGAGATAATTTTTGGTAAAATGAATCAAGCAATTGTATGTTGTGATCTAACTTTTGATATTCCAGAAAAGAGGGGCAAACATATATGCAGAGTTTCTTGGTGGAAGCTTCTCATGTGACGCTTATCATGTGACTGAGCCTCGCCCTGATGGTAAATGTTGCTATTACTGCCTCATGAATTAATCTTTATTCATATTGCAAGGGTCTAAGAGTTTCTATCATTAGTTAGGACGTGAGAAAAGGGTATCGTCAGAAGTTCGAGACCTGCAGGGCACCCTTTCTATTAATACTTGCAACGGCCTCAAGTTTTGATTATACTGATACCAACAGTCTAACACTGAAAACTGCTGTCTTTCTTCAAATTGCAGTAGTGGAGAAAGGATAAAGTGGAAGAAAGGAAAATTAGAAAAGTACAGATGTAATTTTGAAATATTAGAATCAAATAATAAAAAGAATTGTGCAGACTAGGTTGGAAAAAAGCCCTGAGCTTGACCCTTTTTACGCTTTTGGGCGTTTTTTATGCCGGCTTATGGCTGTTTTTCTTGATCCATCCAACCCATGATCACATAATTGGCTCCGCACATATGCGGTTTTCCTATTATATCTTATCATATTGTGCATGTATTAGTAAATTAGTATTTGAAGTATGTGATTGAAGTTGATAAGCTGGCTTATTGAAATGGCAGCTACCATTAGATCACTTGAAGAATTCTGGTATTGGAAAAGTTGTCTCCTGCGTAATGTTCAGGAACTACATATACCCAAATTAAAACACTTGAAATGTAGTATCTTGTTCGAGTTAATCTTAGTTTAAAGAATAAAAAGAAGAAAACTCATTCTCCCCCAGTACCAGTCTGAAGAGAACTTTAGTAATTTCTGCCTTTAAATTTCTTAAAGTTTTGCCAAAGGATTCTGGACTCATGATTCTTCATAGTCCCCCCACCACCCCCCCCCCAAAAAAAAGAATTGTGGATTCTGGCATATTTTTTTTTTGGTCTTGAATTGCATACTATTCTTCTTGTAACCAAAATGAGCATGATGACTTTTGACGATGGATCTCTATTGAACAATTTGGTTATCCCTGCATCGGTGGGCACACATCATCACGATTGCCTTTTTCCCCATAAATTTTTGGAGCTAAAAATGTAAATTTCAAGAGTTCGAATCCTATGCACTAAATAATTTACTGCAAATCGAGTGAAGAAAAAAACACTGGAATGTGTGTAAATAAATGAAGAGCCTCTTCCATTGTACGGGATCTGAACTAAAGTTTCAGATACTATGTAAAGCACAGTTTTGACCGTTGCACCATAATTTTTTTGGTTATTCTGTTCTGTTGTTAATTTGCCTCTTCATATATTTTTTACGATGCACATTGACCATCATGCATAAATTTAAACTGACACATGTTGAGACAGAAGTGCGTGAATAGCTTCCATAATCCATCTCATCTTATCATCTTGTGGCATAGATAGTCAATGATTGCATATCACTGACAATTGCAGAGAAGTAGCATTAATGTTCTATGATCTGGCACCTCTCTTCTTAATGAAAAGAAATTTATCATGTTGCAATAGCCTTTGATTCTTTATCGCATAGTAATGAATGGTGAGTGGTGATGCCTGAATCGTGAATGAGTGTATGACAGTGTGCTGTAATTATCCATATCTGCTGATTATTCTGGCCTGAGTTTGCATGTCCTATTTTTCTGTCTCAATCAGGAGTTGGCGTTATACTCTGCATTGAAAAGGCATTAGCTCAGTCTGGAGTATCTAAGGAGGATGTGAACTACATAAATGCCCATGCCACATCCACACCAGCTGGAGATCTTAAGGAGTACCAGGCTCTTGCTCATTGTTTTGGCCAAAATCCTGAGGTAAGTTTTCTTTCAGGTGTTACTATAACTCTTGTTCTCTTGGCTTACTAGATTCAAGTTAATTTTAACCTCCCTTTCTTTTTCAGTTAGTTTATGCTCCCACTTACCTTATTGTATGCATGCTAATCAAGATCCTTTTGTACAGCTCAAAGTGAATTCTACAAAATCTATGATTGGTCACCTCCTAGGGGCAGCTGGAGGTGTGGAAGCTGTGGCGACAGTACAGGTTCCTGGTGAAATACATCTTAATTAAATTTGTCGTAAATATTTTTCACATCTGAAAAGCTTAGAGCTTTTGGTTTAATTTATTATGTAGGCCATACGAACTGGGTGGGTTCATCCCAATATCAACCTCGACAACCCTGATGAAGGAGTGGTATGTTGTTTGTTGCTTCATTCTCACCTTTTGTCTCAGTAAATGTGCAGTTATATCTTATGGGAGACAAAATTATCTGATTTAATCAATTGGCAACAAATCAGGACCCGGGACTTCTTGTGGGCCCAAAGAAAGAGAGATTGGATATCAAGGCAGCCTTATCCAATTCATTTGGTTTTGGCGGCCACAACTCTTCAATCATATTTGCCCCGTATAAATGAAAACACTTTTCATGGCCTACCTTCCTGTAATTAGGAAAAAGGTATGATGTCTCATTCTCCGAATTAATAAAAAATTTTATATGCCCCAAGGGCCTATAGAATAGCCATAGAATTTTCACTCAGCATTACTTTAAAATAGGTGCTTATATAGATGTTCTCTTATTAAAGTTTTATTATTTTCGTTCATTTTTGGCTCTATTTTTGTAAAGTAAATGCTCTCGAGTTGCAGATGTTCAGTAGCCTGACGTTCCTAGTTTGCTCCTTCCTCAGGTGAAAACGTATGTTGTGTGTGAATTGCATTTATTTGATGGGACGGTGCTGCGATAGAAGAATCAGAACGTCCAAAGATTTGTTGGGTGAGATGGAGTAAAGTCTATCCACAACTGGAACCATATTCACCATGAATGGTTAGTATAGGAGATGACCCACTTTGATGTAACTCCTCAAACAACCTCTTTGGTGGGGATATGAACTTTTGTTTTATTCACCATGTACAACTAGATATGAACATAGCCAATTTGTAGTATTTTTTGAGCTGCCTCTTTAATTAGGTTACCCATTTCACTAATGTGACTTTAATCTTGTGAGTATATTGTCTTTGCTGTACTTTTTAGCCATGAAGAAGAATCAATCTAATCTAAAAAGGCGAAAAAATCCCTTGTAATTTCATAGCGGGTGCTATGGAATTTCAATTTTCTCTGTATACTCAAGAATGTTCTAAATCTGAAGGCTGGCTGGGAATTACTTCGGCTTGCCAAAATGAAGGCGTCGGTTTTTTTTATTTATCAAATCATAGTTTTAGAAGTGTTTTTATAATATACAAAATAAACATATGGAAAAGTTTGTTTTGTTTTATGGAAAAAAAAATGCTTTTTAAAAAGCATTTTTGTAGGTCCCAGAACCCTCTAAATATTTTCCCCCATCACTTCAAAGATAAAAGCTCATATTTTTGTGCTACTAAGTAGATGGCGGTGGGCCTTGGCTGGTAAAAAAAAAGAAGATGGTGGTGGGCCTTGTACACATACGAACTGTGAAATTTGTATGGCTATGAAAGAAATTGAGTCTTGTGGATAGGTCAGATTAGGCAGGGTTGAAACATTTCAGTCCAAAAAACCAAAAATAGGGTTGAAACATGTCACTGTCCAAGTTAACGCGTGCGCGCTTACACGAACTCCCTCCTATTCCTTTCACGAAATTTTAAAATTTGTAGTGTTTTAGTTTTTTTTTTATAAGATTCTATTTAAGACTGTTGGAATATGAAATGTGTTTTTATTAATTTTGCTCCTAATTAATTTTATATCCTCTCTCCTAATTTTTTTATACTATATTCTTTTTTATCATTTACCTCATTATTAGCATTTCTTTATGTTATTTGTCCTCTTATTAAATAAGGGCATACTTAAAATTTGTGTGTGTTTATTTTTATAATTTTAAATTTCTTTAAAATCACATAATGTAATTAAAAAGATCTTATAAAAAGAAGAGGAATATTACATTTGAGTACAAATCCACATCAATGTAAATGATGTCATACCAACAACCAATGGTTGTGAGAGTAAAACGAGAATTTAAACCATAAATAGATATGATTAAAATATGCACATTTATTATGGGAATTTAAATTTGGATCTGGAAATAAAACGGATTAGTTAGAAGTTGGACACCGTTGAATAAGTTTCATGTTAAGTTGAAGAATCAAAGAATGAGATTGAGTTTTTGAGGCTTTAATCTGTTTGGTATGAGGGAAATGGAGGGGAGGGGAGGGAAAATTTTAATGAGCTCGGTTTAAAAAATTGAAGAAGTGGGGTTATGAGCGTTGGGGCAAGTGTTTGTCCACCATGATAACCTTCCCACCTAATCTCGTACCTGTGAGAGCTCTCCACTATCGGTGGGTCGAATTAGATGCAACCAACTACCAACATTTCCTGACAACAATTAACTCCGATGGATTACATTTCTATAATTGCTGCCTAAATTCAGCGTAAAATGCATCAGTAAATAAATTATTCTAATAATCATCCAGAGTTCAAATAACATCGTAAAATTGCATTTTCATAAAACGAGGACCCACCTTGTAATATCCTCAGCAGCAAGTGTGAAGATAAATGCGTAAATATAAATATAGATATAGATATCAATAGTAACATTCACTCTTCATAACATACTATGTGGTTAATATAAAAGCTAGTTAAATATTTAATTTAGTTTTAAATATAAGATTTCAATTTACTCTGTGTTTTATATTTATTTATTTATTTTTTAAAATATTTTGTGGTTATACATTTTAAAGGTTTTATCAAAGGATAGTTCTAATACACATTATTAATAAAAATATTATAGAAAAAATAATACCTATTTATTACAAATAACTTAATTAATTTTTTAATATCCTTAAATTAGTTATATAACTCTTATATTAAGAATTGGAGATAGTAGTACTTTGGCTAAAATTTTATTCTATGCTCTTGTAAATATGGCATTCCCCTGCCCTCATGTTTTTTCTGCTATGCACATATATCTTTTTATTAAACAAAAATCTTATGTGAGATACTATCGGGTATTTTTCATTTGACTCATAAAAATGCAGAATAACATGATAATAACATATCAAAAATTTTTATTGATCCTAAGCCCAGCCCAATTCAATGGGGGATTGAATAGGGCTGGGCTTTTACCCATCCTTTGGGCTTTCGGGTAGCATGAAGTCTAGGATCAGATTTGGGCTCAACCAGTAACCCTCTCTCCCAACAATGCCTCCCTCTCGCCCACTTATGACCAATATTCATTAGCCCAAATAAGAGCACCGATAGAATTTAGGAAAAATAGCAAATAAGACCCTCTAATATGTGAAATTACAATCTTGGATTCTCAATTTGAAAAATGACAAATAAAGACATGGTTTCATATTACAAATATAAAATCTTAGTGAAATGTCTGAAATGCCTCTTGACCAAGTGACAAGTTGACTATGAGAAATGACAAGTCTACTTTAACGAATAACAACTTTATTGGACCAAATCACAACTTGGCTGAGGGGTATTTCAGACATTTCATTAATATTTCATATTTGCAATATGAGACCAAATCTTTATTTGCCATTTTTTAAATTGAAAGTCTCAAATCGCAATTTCACATATTGGGGGTCTTTAATCTTTATTTGTCATTTTTTCCTAGAATTTAAGTCGACTGATGAGTTCAAATTTTATTTTCAAAAGGAAAAAAGGGTTATATAAAGCTATGCCTATATTTAGACTTATCGTGCTCAAGTCTAAACTAGTAAAATTGGATACAAAATACTCCCTCTATTCTCATTTATAAGCTTCAAATTTCAAAAAAAGTACGATTCATTTTATAAGTTTCAATTTAGGTTTATCTTAACATTTAATATTTTTTTTAATGTTGTCTTTAATTATTTATCTCTTATCATATTTGTCCACACATTCTCTTTCATCTTTTTTCTTATTTATCATAAGGATATATTTGAAAAAAAAAATCTATTTCTAACTTATTTATTAATTTTAACTATTTATTTATTATTCGTGAATTAATTATTTAAAACTTACTCGTGAAAAGACATAAGGAAGTAATAGTTAAAAATAGAAAGAAAAGACAGCGACATATATACAATATGCAGTCCTGAAAAATGAACTGTACTGTGTAATGATGACAGCATTTCAATCAAACTTGTGCTGTAAATATACAAAATATTGTCATTTAATCATTTCCATCATTCCATTATGACGTAGGTGTGTTCTTCTTGCTGTCATTAATACATGTTGTTATGATTTCTATTTTCATTTCTAATTCTAGGGTATCGTGCTGCAATTTCTACGTTTTGTTGGTGGGGTATAATTAGTGCTCTAATAAATCTGTCATGTTCCACGTTAAATTATTAATATCGACGCACTATAAGAAAAACAAAACGTGATAACTACGTGAGTTTTATACAGACACTGCTTCCCAACGTAAACCAACAGTAAAGCATTCGATAAGAGAACAAATGAAGAGAAGATGAAATCTGCAAACGGCAAAACATGAACACAGGCGAGTTATTTACATGGAAGCATATGGAAATATTCAAACGAGAAGTGGGAGTTTGAGGCATAAGAAATGCATAATATATCCAATAACGTCGGTGGCGTGTTCTCCATATATATGAACTGTGAATAACTGAGTTAAATAGGAAAGAGATGCAACTTTTGCAGACAAGTGTGCAGACTCTTGCAGGGGCCACATCTTCAATAATCACGTACGTACGCTTGAAACATGTACATCACAGACGCAGTTTTAATGTCACTCCTTTAATTTAATTAATTGCTTTGCTATGCCTTTTTCCGGTGTCTGGGCAGAGTAGTTGAAGGGAGCTATCAATTATGAATGCGTCTTGCTCTTATATACTGGCCAGAGAGCTCTGTTTATGTATGTATTAATCCGATCGAACTGGGGATATGAATAAAACAACTAATTACAAGCACAATTTATGTGCGTCTTTGTCTGATGACAATAATTTCACGTTGGAAGATCCACATCATATATAGTAAAGCAGCCAAGCAGGCGCATTTAGACACAGAATACGTATACAGATTTAACATATGGCGAGATTGTACATTAAAGTAGCTAGTAATTGACATCAACAATTATGATCATACCATCGGATTAGCAGCACGGAGGAAAGTTAATTGGAAGGTTGGGACTTTTGCATCCGGCGGGTGTCGCAGAGGCGGTTGATCATGTAGAGGGCGTTGCTGGTGATCCTGGAGACTCGACTGATCTTGCGCTTTATCCTGCCAACCACGGGGTCGTGGACGGGGCTCAGACCGTCAAGGCAGGTGTCGTCGTCGGTCATGGCGGCGCTCACCCAGGTCTGGGCGTTGCTCATCTGAAGCTCAAACGTCGACTTACGGAGGTGCTTGAGCTCCTCGAGGCTCCTGCTGAGCTGGTCGACGGAATCGGATAACTGCTCTGCACAGTCACGGAGAGCGACTCGTCGGCGGCGGCGGGACCGCTCGCAGAGGGAGGGAAGATGGGAGTGGAGGAAGCGGGAGAGGTGGCGAGCGTGAAGGAGGCTGACGGAGAGGGCGGCCTGAGCGAGGTCGTTGGGGGTAATGGAGGGACGAGCGTAGGAAGAGAGAGTACGGAGGCAGAGATGGGGGTACCTGGCGTGGACGCATGAGGAACGGAGCAGATCGGAGGAGGGCGGAGGAGGGGAAGCGGCGGTGGAAGGGGGAGGGAAGAGGAAGAGGAGGAGGAGGAGGAGGAGGAGGGGAGAAGGCATGGCGAGAGCGAGCGGGAGTGAGAGTGTGAGAGTGGGAGTGAGGGGCGAAGGATGAAGGAAGGAGAATGGAAAGGTGGGGGGACAAAGGGGGAATTGAATTGGGGAGTAACTAAGCAGTCCTTGCTGTCCATGTAGCCCATTCCTCTTCACTCAAAACAAAGAAGGGACACTGAATATACAATTGACCCCATACTTTTTTTTTTTTTTGGTTTTTGCCAGCGACCCCATACTATTTGGATCATATAATATGCACACGTCAAAATCTCTGGGATCATCACTCACACTAGCTTCAGGTTTAACATTGCAGTGCATTCATTATGTTTTTAACTGGAAACCTTAAAGACCCGGGTCAAAAAAAAAAAAAAAACTGGAAACTTAAAGACCAGGAATTAAAGGAGCGTCCTGTGCAGGGAGAGGGATTGATTGAATGAATGAATGGCGTAGGATTATTTTGATTGGAGGGACAGGGCACGTGATCTGATGTGGCCGCCTCTGTCATCCCCACCATCTTATTCCTCTACTCCTCACGCAGAACTTGGGTTTCTGCCCCTTGCGTGTCACCGCGTTCCCAGCAAAATTTCCCCCTTTTTTTGGGGTGGCAAAAAAACTTTTTAAAGTTTTTAATGTGGAGTGATTAATGTGGGAAAGGTGAAAGCATGGCCATAATTGGATCGTGACGGGGCTGCGCCTTTCTCATACCCATGCCTATGGACAGTGGACACCCATCTACCACTACTTGAGGGGGGAAAAGATGAATAGTGAACGACAATAGGTTAGGGGGATGGGACCCAGCGGCCACGTGATTCCCCCCCCCATCTCCATGTGTTATGGACATGCGCATCACACCATAAGTATTTTTGCACTTCCGACGTCTCTTGCACATTTGTAAATAAATTCAGCTTTATTTCAATATATATACATATGCTTTTTCAAAAAAAAAAACCAATCTACGAAACAATAAATTAAAAATAAAATTATACAATTATATAATAAATTTGATGACATAGTAACTTGCATTAAAAACAAATGAACGCTCTTTCTCTGCTGCACGCTCTATGAAAGATATCATAGCAGTAATTATTGGGGTTGATGAGGGCAGGCCACAGAAAATATGGGGTCAGGAAATCAGAGGTCAGAGGGACATGATCGCGGGGCATGGCTTTGTTGCCACACATCACAATCACAGTGGATGTGAACCCATGAAACAAGGCCTGCCTCTCCACGTGCATCACCCATCCCCCATCCCCCACCCCCCCTCCTCCTCCGCAGTTCAATATCTCCCGTTCATCTCTATACTCCGTATAATGTTTTTTTTCTTACAAATGAATATCTTCCTGTTAGAGATAATTTTATTCAACATACTGTAAGATACTAAATGTGAATACTCTTTTAGGAGGAATTCAGATCTTATCCACCACATTGTGGAGGACTAATTCTTGTTAGCAAAATCATTTTATAAATACTTATACTGTTCTATTTAGGCTTTCTCTCAGTTAGCCTGTACCGAATTGGGATGTTCTCCCTCCTTTTTTCAATCCAAACAAAAATCCCTCTCTTGTTTTTGGGCCCTCCAATTAAATAACCTCACATTACATAGCCCAGGAGGACATAGTTCTGGGCCCAAGCCCCAAAAAAAACACTCCCAAAAACTCTGTCTGCCCAAAAAGAGGGTCCAGATTTAGAAGAGAATGCAAATATGCTTGTTTCCGTACACACGTATTATTGATAAGATGGCGGCACAAAACATGATTGTTAGTGACTAGTTTGACAACCCCCCCCCCCCAAAAAAAAAGCTAATCCAATCATACTGCGCTGAGAGGCCAGAAATTTGATTGAGTATCGGAGGCGCCGGCGTCCTTCAAAAGCTCGCAGCCAAATAGAGGAATATGTAAGAAAGTATACACATGAAATTAATCCGATTGGAATGAGTTAATTGAAATTCCGAAATTGACGGAGCTTTCGTCCTTTCGTATCATCATGTATCTGTCATTTGTTTCCCTTTCGGCAGGAAGGTTGTTCAAACACTGTGGCGGCAACCTTCTCTTGAAAAAATACAAGAAGAAAATAAATTCCACGTCCAGGAATATTCTAAGGTTCCACGCGTATCGCCATATGCATATCTCTTCACTAGTGAGTTTAGTTTAGCTTATTTAAAATGGTTTTACTAGGTCCACTTGATGAATTAATATTTGAATTTTTAAAATTGTATTCACATTTAGTACCCGATAATGTCTATAATAAAATTATTTCTAGTATAAGAGTATTATATTTAGGACTGGAGGAGTACTTGGGAAAAAAAGATTTTGTGCTATGCAGATACAAGTTAAATATTTGTGAGATGGTTTTGCGTCATAAAGAGTGATGCAAAAATATCTGTGCACATCTATTAGCTTGTGTGTTTTGAAAGCAGACGAATAGGCCAAGCTGGTTACTATGCCTTCTTGGGTTCGTCTCTGGCTCGCCATTGCCACACCCAAAAATTCTTACCCATCCAATGGCTATACCTGCCCCCCCCCCCTCCCCTTTTGGGCTGACAATGCCTATTGTCATTACTAACAAGAATCACGTGCCACAATATTCAGTTATTTTTGAATTTGATCACACAAGTAATAATATTTTTTTTCCATCTGGTTATTGTTATCTTTTTTTTTTGGTCCAATGGTTATTGTTATCTTACATATATAACCATCATCACTTTATATGCAATTATAAACGCCTTAAATTAAGCTTTTCCTGACATCAAACTAACGAGTTACTATTTTTCTGGCTTGGATAACTTCCATATTATTATTAATTGTTAATTGGTGAGTACAATTCATAAAATATGATTAATGTATTTTGAAAGTCAGGACTAACTTAAGAATAAAAAGTGTTTTTTGGGCAACAGACGAAAACGTTATAATGAATTATATCATCAATTAAAATTTGGCCATCGATCGCCATACATGTGTTGCCTGGGAACCCATTATTATGAATCAGCGGAAACCTCATATTAAAATGGCTCGTATTAATGGGTTATGAGATAGTACGACGTCGTCAGGGCCATGGAAGAATCAGATGCGAACCAAAATGTTAAACTTAAAACCACTCCTCATTTGGCCCTGCAACCAATGCTACGTCCCCGTTCGCTGTCTCGCGTGACGCCGTGACGGGCCATACCATGCCCATCAATATGGAAAAATCAGGTCCAACATGTAAAATATAATTATTAAAAAAAAACTTAATAACAATATAACTGTGCAGCATAGGTGTTACGTTGTTGTTATTTTCTATACCCAAGATTTTGTTAATTATATGTTGTTGTTTAACGATAAGTTTAAGTTTGAGATCTCATTTAAGCGTGGCGGGTGATCACCGGAATAACTTGTCATTAACATATATTAACTTGTATAAGTGTGGGGTATAATAACAAATTATAATCAGTAGTTGGTTAAAAATTTGAAAAACACTGATATATACCAACTATTAAAACGCAGTTTAATATAAGTTGGGTCGATCGGTAAAATTAAAGTACTATTTAAAATCATCAAAATTTTAAAAATTATATAACGATAGATGGACAATTTTAAAATAATATTTATTAATTATTTATTAGTGGATGTGATGCTGGGATTTCATATTTGTCTCATTCATGCTCTCTGAATAGCACTGTGAACCACAAATTGAAAACACAACCTCGAGATTATTAAATAGTACACACACAGTTGCAAAAAAACGTCAACCTATTCTTAGACGCGCCCTGATCATTTAAGCTCCATCATGTTGGTCCCTTCAACAATCTGCATCATCCAAATCAAAGTTTCTTAATTAAGTTAATGAATACTCAAAAAAGTGTAGTAAAATATTGACTATTTCGAATATAAAATGAGTTTTATATTTAAAATCAGAAGAGTAATATTTTAATTGAAAATTTCACTACCATAACAACGTATTATTGTTGCATTGGTTAAAAGATTGATTGATTAGTAATCTGCATCACAACCTATTATTGCTTAAAATATTGTTATGCTCTCGCATTGGAAGACCGACATGGTTTTCGACGATGCACTTAATCCTACAAATCCCAGGAAGTTTCATTATTAGTGATACCCTCATGCTCATCCAGCAAATCATCAACTTCATTTATGTAAAAGGACAGCAGATACAGTCTTATTTTCTGATAATTTAGTACTTATTATGTCATGATTGAGATTCCCACAACATCATCGCTCTCGATTATTATTTGTCAAGCTAATTAAGGGGCTTTGATCTTTACTCATGGGCTCCATAAATGTTCCTTTTAAGCCTAATCGAATCACTTACTTCAGGGTTAATATTAGGTAATAATTGACGAAAAGTATATATATACATAGATATATTTTAAATATACAAGCTCAAGTAATATATATATATTTTTAATACCCTTGCAGTTTAATTAAAGGAACCCATTGGAAGGTGAAAATGAAGGGAAGAGAGGAATAAAACAAGAATGCGTCAGGATGAGAAGACTTTTGTATTGTTGTGCAAGAAGTTTCAAATTGTGGCCCGCAAGCAAAAGTTGGAGTCTTAATTGTGTCCCTTCAATTAACGCAAGCCTGCTTTAATCTGGCTTTGGGATTTTTCATAAACCCATGGACACACGATTAACTTTCAAGTTAGTGCAGGTGGATTTAATTTCTTCTTAGCCGTTTAGGTAGTTTCAATTTCACTCACAAGTTTATTGTTTTTAATTTATGCGATGCATGCAATAATGCAACCTTGCAAATTACGTTTCGATCTAATTAATTTAGTAAAGTTATCATCAAAGCTTTTAAAAAATATATTCCCTTTCGTGAAGAAGAAGTTTGTTAATGATCTAGGACCAATAATCAATGAAGAGGCATATGAAAGTCTAGCTGGCAAAAAAATATTAAAACTCTTGTACATCTGACGAGATTTTAATCATTTATATATACAAATGACACTAGTTAATTAATGTGTTCATTATCTAATTGTTTTATTTTCCTCTCTTTCTGGAAAATGATCAGAAAATCTGCTTATGTGAGCCCCTCTTCCGAGTGCTACTACCTACTCTAATTAAACTGTATAAAACAACCCCCCATTTCCAATAGCCGGAGTTCAATATGTGCATATATCTTAATTAACGCGCACTTTTCGAAGATAAAAGTATATTTATATATTATATTGATACGAGTGGAAAATAAAAGGAAAAAGAATGACAATAAATCTGTTCCTTTTTCATATAATAATTAATAATTTTTGCCTGAATAACTTACCACTTCAATGTTGTGGAATACAGCGCAGCCCTCATCAATCATTGACGAATTAAACCAGGAATATTCCATGATATATGCTAGGTAGGTATATGCAGTGAGTTGATGATTAATAAAGTTGAATTATGTGGCAAACAAAAAAAATGGCAGTTACGGACATCAGCCCGTGCCACAGAAACTTCCAAATCTGATAATATAGGAACCAATAACTATATATATATATATATATATATATATATTTATATTTATATTTATATGTATAAGAAATAAGACTGGTTCATCATCAGAAAGCCACCGCTACGGTTGGTCATTTAGGGTGTGTTTGGATGAAACCAAACCGTGGTTTGGAAAAGTGATTCTGGAGAATAGATTCTGGGAAGAATAGATTCTGGAAAGAATAAATTTTATGAAAAAGTGATTTTGAGAAGTGAGAGTGTTTGGATAGTTGTTATCAGAAGCACTTTTTATATATACAAATTACTAAAAAAAAGACATAAGTTAATATGATAATTACAGAAAAATAGATTTTATGATATATTTTAATTTGAAGGAATAAAATTGTTAATAATATATTTTTTATTAACATAATTAATAATACATAAGATAATATAATTAATAATTAATTAATATGTATATATATTTATAAAATATAAGATTAAATATGTTTATAAAAAAATATGTTTATAAAAAAATAACAAGATACATATCCTATAGGCTCTCACACTCTTCTTTTTTTCTCCAAAAGCAAAATTTTTTTGCTTTTTCCAAAACCATGGTTTTAACCTAAAACCATGGTTTGTGCAAATTGGATGGGTGTTTAGGTGACTTATCACCCAAACCATGGTTTGGAGTGTCGCCCAAACGGTGCCTAATCAACAAGAACGAGATACATATTAATGTTGTGTTGGGACCATGTATAGTTTAATCCATAAAATACAAATATAACTTCTCATTGGCTGATTATGTGATATTTTAATACTCCTCCGGTCCTTAATATAGGACCCAATTGTTGAGTTGGTTTTGGTCCTAAATATAAGACCCATTTATCATATTTATCAATTTTCTCTAAATTACTCTTATGGATACTCCCTCAACCATAATCAAATAGAAGAAGAAAGGGTATTAAGAAAGATGATTATGGTATTTTAGGAAAAATGTGTCACATTTTTTATAATTAACTAACTTACCTAACTTCCTTAATCTAATTAAATTAGTTAAATGGGTTTTATATTAAGGACCGGAAGAGTAGATTTTTATAATCTCAAGATATCCGACCACTCTGAGCACCATTTCTTGGTTAGTTGGTTTACATGGCGGGGTTCTTCTGTTTGACAACACAGCCTCGAAATACGTTACACAGCACAGCTTCGAGATTCCACTTGCAAGGATACCAAGTTGGACATGCACACAAACAACTGAAAGACATATACGTACAATTATTATTGCAACTTGCTGCATTAATCTCTCTCTTTCTCTCTCTCTCTCTCTCACAATCTGACTCACACAACTCAGATCAATTTAATTTATTCACCTTTATATGCATATCATTATCAACTCCTAATGGCAATTAGTACCCTGATGAGGCTTCGGAATATATATAAATTTATTTTGTTATGAACCATATGATAATATTATTTGTGTTTAAACTGAACTAAGCTGGCCAAGTTGAATGATCTCTCGTACAATTAATAAGACATGATGTATGAAGAGCTATTCATAATTAGTGACCAGAAATAGTTTTTATAGATAGACATTATATTAGTATCAATATTAATACTGATGGTTATTATTGCTTTTACACAAATGCTGCGATACACAGATCAATTCCATTGATATTTTGAGAAATTTAAGTAGTTTTGATGCTTGATATTAAAAAAATGGGGGCAGCCAAATATGTTGTTTTCAGAGGGCACAGACACGAAATATGAGTGGACAGGACCAAGCTGACCACTCCCCGAACCCGTGATCGCTAAAGAGTACATGCCAAATCCACAATTAACACTCACGTTCACTTCAAGGCTTGTTCGATGATGTTCCTGTGTCCCCCCTTTTTTTCTCCCTGCTTCAATTAAAAAAAGATGCGAACAGCAATTATTGGGTTGTTGGCATATTCCGTACTTATATCCACAATATTTATTATTAGACTCATCAGTAAAGCCCTCTTATTACCCAACACTCTCACTCCCATGTAACGTAAATCGGAATTATTAGGTGTACAGGAGTCGTAATTTTTGAGTTCTCTTCACTGTCAGCTAGGCGCGCAAAAGAAATGGCCAAAGGAAAAACACCGTCCACTTGCTTATACAATTTCAATATGACCACTCGACAGTGACTCATACTTATGGCTTTGGCCTTCCCCGTCTCAAAGTGGGGTCCGTAGCTTTTACTTTTGGCGTTTTGGCGCCTTCACCCACTCTTCCCTTTCTCTGTTCATTTTCTGCATCACGGCTTCCACTTCTGCCCATTTATATTCATATACTCTCCTGTCCTCATCACTTCATTATTTCCACCGTATATGTTATTAGTCAGACGATTCCAAAGCTAGCTTAGCTAATTAAATTAATGTCTTGGAATTATAAGTTCCATCTCATGTCCCTCCAGTTCTTCAGGTTTTTTGTTGTTTCTGCAGGCAACATTTTTAAGGTGGAATAATATGACTTTATTGAAGGTAACACATGATCAAGAAAATAGACTGGATTTCATTATATGCCACAGGGAAAAGACGAGCTAGGAATTGAAGAGATCAAAAACCTCACGCAAAAGCACAAAGGCGTACGTTTGCGTTTGAAAATTGAGGTTCAATGTTTTGTTTCGTCATCCAAACTACTGCTAATCCAAATTATGCAAATTATATATATACACCTTAATCTTGGCAACATCTCTGAATCTACCAGACGATACAGCTTGAGCTGTACCTCGCTTGTTTTGGAAATCTGCTACTACCAATCCCGGAATCCCAGAATCTCACAACGTTACTGTTGAGATTTGTTGAATCCTGGTACATATACCAGCTATTCACTCCCATCCTCGCCTTTAACATTTTATCCCATTTCTCCCACCATTCTGATTTGAAACCACAACCGTCGTCGCAGCACATTTCTGTTTCTGTCTCTGTCAACTCCTCTTCCGACTCGTATTTACTTTCTTTCTCGTAAAATATAGTAAATTTTTTCTTGGTCACTCCGTCGATGTCGCCTTCTGAGAAAACACCCGCCGTCACTGGGCCTTTCTCTGGAACTTCATGCAGAACAGTGTTTTCCACTAGTCGCTCGTCTCCTGTCGATCGAGACCCATTTAAGCTCTGATCATTTGACGGTGGCGTCGGAGGTGGAGGAGGAGGCAAACGAGGTTTAGTGCGGATCTTCCATAGGCTGAGGGCGGCTGTGAGGAGGGCGAGCCAGGTCCAGAGGTTGTTGACGAGGATGGATAGGCCGAAGCTGGCATAGTTGAAAGTGAGAGCTTCGAGAGGGGAATCGAAGGCATTCATGGTGGCGAGCGGTGGTGATGCGAGGAAGAAGAGTGTGAGAGCGTGTGAGGATTTAAGGGGCAGAAGAAGGGAAGGTATCTGAAGGAAGATGCCAGGAATCGAAAGCTAAGATGCTAATTGGCATGGGATATGATGGTAGATCCGTATTTTATACCCGGTCTTCATTTTTACACGTGTAAGGCTCAGAATCAGCCTTTGAATAATTAATCAATTAAGACTCGTTGATACGATGAAAGAGTGAAATAAGATTGGGATTAATCACTTCGTAATCTGAAAACACGACTGAGGCAGACGGTAATTACAAGGCTCCAAGGTCAAGTGATCACGTTTAGCTTGCTTTAACTTAAATTATATATTATATATTAGTTGATCTGGTTGACATATAATCCATGACTTGATGCTGGTTGAACGAATGATGCATTGTCAAAGTAAAAAGAGGGAAAAGTTGGAGTGTGGGTGGGTGCACGGAAGCATACCGTGGAGCTCATGATTGTGGGGCAGAGGTTTGGTGGAGACAATGGTTGGTGCAACTTAATTTCATGGATATGATTGATGGATATGCCGCTTCATTCTTGCATATGATATGGATTAAGAGTTAAACAATATTTTGTCCTTCTTCAGCTTAAAAGCCCATTTCTACTTGATATTACTCTCTGTTTTTAAAAATATAAAAATGCACAATTAGTTCTTCGTTTTCGAAATCACTTTTAAGAACATAAGCAAGTATTCAATATATTTCCAATCATTCCTTTGTATAAAAGTGATACTTTATTATTTTTCTCTCATCCTTCAAACCCTATTATATCTAATTTAGTTTTATATATTTCTTCATCTTATATAATTTTTTTTGCTCTTTATAAATAATACTTTAATTTAATATATTATTATTTTTATCTTTAATTACCGTATAATTCTTCAATTAGATCATATGTTTATTATTTTTAAATTATAGTCTTAATAAATACTAGTAGATAGATGCTCATCCTGTCATCCCCATAAACAAATTGATGGGTAGTCCAATAAATTAATACTCGTGGGGTTGATATTTGAAGAAAGAAAGAAAAATGAAAAAGAAGATAACAGTTGGAGAAAATAATGTTGAGGCGACATGAGAGAAGCCTAATGACCTGGTACTTAGCTTCAACATGATATTCAGCTCCCTGCATATAATTTGAGGCCAATATACCAATTAATTATAATTTAATACCACTCTCACTAGTCTATGTTAATACAAAAAATTAATAACTGACGGGAGTGATTAGCGATTCATCCAGACGGAATACATAAGGCTTTTGATTGGTGATCTAAATGTGTCGTCTTTCTTTTTAATTATCCTCAAACCGGAACTTAAAAACCAATGCACAATTTATGAAATATATGTGGGGATATTTAGTGAACTACTTAGAGGCAATGAATAAACATATATTTGAAAAATTTGTGGTCATTTGGGCTGGTTTGGTTTAAGTAGTGAGTTGTGCAATAGTAAGTAGAATATTGATCAAAAGGTAATCATGACATTTAAGGAATATGTGTGTGTGTGTATCATTGTAAATTACATAGCATTTGATTGAAAGGGTATGTTTAGTTCTCCCGGCCCATAAGTAGAATCTCACTTATTGATTGGGAAATCTTTGTTTAAGAGTTTGAAATTGCAATTGAAATGATTTAATTTGTGACATTAACTAGTTCATTGTTTTCTCATGGCTATATGCATGCCCCAGAATTACTTATAAGATCTTATCCTTGCGATAAATTCTGCAACAACAACAATAAAGCCTTATCCCACTAGGTAGGGTCAGTTACATAGATGGCACGACGCTATTGCGCCTTGTTTAAAACCAAATCTTTGGATATATTGTTAATTGAAAGATTTCATTCAATGACTTCATTAAGTGTTGTCTTTGGCCTTTCTCTATTCATTTTGAAAGTCTCTCACTTCTCTCCTTTTAACTGCCACCATTTGACCCTTGGGGTTGACACTTGTTAGCGTTTTTGTTTTACACACTTAATATGCACATCAAGGACCAGTACTTTATGTTGTGCTATCACGTCATCTCTAGGAATCACTTTACAATTTGTGCAGAGTTTTCTATCAGAATTCCTTACCAGAAAGAAATCAATATATGACCTATGGGTTTCACTCTTGTAAGTGATTAAATGTTCTTCCCATTTCTTAAAGCAAATGTTAACAATCTTGAGATTGTACGCAATCAAAGAGAAATCAATAATAGTTTGCCCTTCATTATCACGCACTCCAAAACCTATACCATTATGAGTCCCTGCATATTGTCTTGTTTCTTTACCAACATGTCATTGTGATAAATTATAGCAATCAAACTCATTTAAAAGCACGGTGTAATTAAAAATCATACTAATATATTTATATTAATGTTATTCAAATTGATGACGGTAGTTGCTGTGCGGGCAGTTTGGTACTTCAGTGTATAATTTACTGCTGAGCTCATAGGTGTTTACAGATTATAAATTAATGAATTTGGATTCCTTCCAGAATAAACAATGAGGGTTCAGGTACAAATTATCTGAGAAGTGAAAAAGGGTTGAAAGGGGCGCGTCAAGAGTCAAGGATGATAAAAGTGCATTTGAATTTGATGCGCATCTATATACACTTAGATATGAAGAGACAATCCAAGTGAAGTCCAACCTCCCACGAGATTCACAGCCCTTCTTATTTCATACGGCCAGGAACTTTCTTTTCTTCTGACTTTCACACTTGTGTTCACATACACACACAACAAATGACTTTCAATTCAGAGATTAACAAACTGTTTTATTATCAATATTAAACATGAAATTCGTGTGGAGCCAGTCGTATGTTTTTTATTCTTTTAAGAATGAATTTGAATATTAAGAAGATTATATTATTACGTTATTAAAAATAAAAAAGAGTGAGAATGAAATAAGCCAGTTTCATATCATATTTCAAACAATCCAAGTGAAAAGATCTATAAGGGTGTGTACATTAATGGGCATAACATTGGCATTGAACACATGGCTTCTTAATAAAAGGGATATAGATATACATTGATGATGTGTGGGCGCTATTAATTTCATACTCGTTTTCACATTATTTACAGTTGACCTCCCATTTCTATGGCCGGGCTCCTCTGCTCATCCATGATCCACCAAACATTCCCACGAACGAAGCACAACGCACCATCTGTGCTTGGTTTTTGTCTTTTTGAAGACGTTGTTTCCGTTCTCTGCACATGTTCTTTAATTTCTGGAATATTGTTCAAAGTTCCAAATTTATTATGTTCAAGACTTCCAATACGCCGTCGCTTTCAATTCTAGAAACTTAAAAGAAAAGTGAATTCTGGTTTAAAGTTTTAAGGTATTGAATTCTGGAAAATTGTGTGCCTGATACATATACCACTTTGCTTCTGGCACACCAAAAAACCAAAAAAAAAAAAATCACTCCGCATCTTTTTTCTTCTGGGGGAAAACTTTGTAGCTATTTTTTATTGGGCCGGAAGAAATATGTTCTTATGATGTCTGTGCCCCTAGGAATGGGACGTTGGGCTAAGCTCAATTATTTTATGGGCCACTTGGGTGAAAACATGTCCCCAGAGTTGGCCCTATTTTTCCGCAATACTAATCCAATACAAATACTCTCTGCGCCTTTTTTTGTTTGGTAAAAAACGAGGATAACACAAGATATCGGTATCAACTAACACGGTGAGGCCTCGGCCCCGCCACGGGCACATCTATCATTGACATTTGACGCTACATGGTGGCCCCATCGGTCCGTCCCTGTCCAACTCATTGACACAGCACGGGAGTCCTTTTCCCAGCCCAAAAAAAACAAAAACACAAAGAAGAAGAAAAAGAAATGATGGCTTCTTCATATTAAAACCGGTAATATGAGTTGAGCTTGTAGGATCAACCCGTCATGAGATGACGGATTGGGTTGAAAAAAATAAGGATCAATTTGATGCAGTCCTTTTCAATCCGCCCCAGTGAACCCATAGCCCGCCAGCCCGTTTTTTATAACGTTATTTTAATTTTAATACATTTTTTTAATCATTTTGACTTTATTTACATATAAATTTGTATTTTGTTAGAGACTTTGATCATAAATTTGATTTCTCATTTTCTTTATTGTTTTACTAATAAAATAACTATTAACAATGAATTATATGATTATCTTTCAACTTTTGAGACTAATTTAATTATTTAACTATATGAAAATATAAAGATAAGAAGAATTTGATTTATAAAAATTTATAATTTAATTTAAAAAATGTTAAATATACGTGTTATTTTTTCCTTAAAAAAGATGGAGGTTAGCGGGCCGACCCGCTAACCCATCCCTTGGCGAGGTTGGTGGGCAAAATGGGAGCCCACTAGGAGACGGTCCTTTTAGGACCAACTTGCATGGTCTTGAGCTCCCGGCGGGCCAACCTGTTTTGCCACCTCTACTTCAAACAAGAGAAGCAGGTTGCCTTTTACTTGGATTAGAATTCTAAAGTTAACTAGATTGATTTAACAGAAGGAGTTAGTCTCAAAACTAATGTTCAAATCCTTATTAAGAGATATGTTCACGTTTATTGTTTAACAATGTCTCAAATGTGATTGCTTCCATATAAATACAAGTTCTCCTAAAAAATACCAGCCTTTTATTATATGGTTAGACATTACCGAGGCCAATGTTATGCATTACTTACTAGTAGGAATTGAAGATTCAATTTGGATATTTGATTAAGGAGTGTTCATGTAATAACTATATTTTCAACGCAGAAAAAGTTTATAATTTCATCATTACCAAAAGAAATTATAATAACTTCATCATGTACCTACCAAACAAATATTTAGCATTAAAATAAGCCTTCTATGAAAGTCCCTTTCGGTTCCCCTTTTTTCCTCCCCATCATATCAAACACAAAAGCAGGGTAGAAATGAGCAAAGAAATTTTACTGGATCGGGGGCACAGCCGCACAGGAGAGCAAGAAATTAAAGAGGGAATCATGCAACGGTCATACTTAAATCCTACCTTGATCAAAAGATTAAGGCATTAAAATTATGAGTCTTTATTAGTCTTATACCCCTAATTATCTACTGGTCCGGACTATAACGCGAAACCTTAACCTCCCCTTCAATTCACACTACCAATATTGATTTAAATTAAAGAAACCGCTCATAAATACACACATATATAATTGTAATTTTTTCCATATTAGAATTGAAACTTGGGCTGCAACGCGGGTGAAGG